TAAATGTATGTATAAATTAGAGAATTTGCTGCCAGTAATGTGTTTTTTCAGTAAAGTGAAAATATGTTGGTAATTGAAAAGTCTGCATCATACTTTAATGTGGGGGCATTTAAAACCTATTAAATTCTAGGAGCGTCCGAGATTACACAATTGTTCATTAAATACTACAGGAGATGATATATCAAGCCGTATAAACATTTACGTTCAAAATATATAGATCTATATCTTGTGGTTACAAAAAAATAGTTGTATTATAGATAAAAAAAAAAAAAAAAAAATGCACCTGAAGAAAGGAAATGTATTCATATTTGCAGATAGTGCGCACTCTATTAACTCCTTACTGTAACACTGAAAGAAGTGCCTTGACTGCAGTCACAAACTTTAAAGGCCTGCTCCCTAGTCTCCATTCCTGGCAAAAACAAATTTAGAAAAATCCCTCAAGATGGAATTCTGTAAACCACCAGTGCATTATGACACTTTTGTAAAAAAAAAAAAAAAAAAAAAAAAAAAAAAAAATGTTAAAAATTAAAGAAACAGCAGTAAACATGTAAACCATAGGTTTTCAATGATTGGGATGTTCAACTGCAGATACAAAATAACTGCTTATTTTCTCTATTCCATCATCAGCACTTTTTTTTTTATGTAAATATTCACAAAAGGGTTGTACATACGCCTGTGTACAGTTAAATATACAGGTCTATTCAAGAGGTTTTAAGACATCTGTAACAAACATATTGAGAAAACGTTTTTTTGCACTTAAAATGTCATAGAAAACAATTTTTTTCTCCATATGTGTAGGTTTTGTAGCTCTGAAAGAAAAGAATGTCTAGAGATTCTTTTTTTTGTTCTACAAAATATGGGCCTTTTCTGAGGAGCAGATAACTGTATAAATACACTGGAAATCCAATTTAAGGCTTTTATTTTTTTTTCTTGCGTTTGACAAAACACGCACACAAAAATATATCTAGCACATGAAGAGGAAAAAAAAACTTAAACACTGAAAGAAAGCCATCATTTACCTATATATCCCAATCCATTTACAACCAAAGTAGAATACAACGAGTCTCATGGAAAAGCTCATCCCCTGAGTTAATACAACATTGAAATAAATTAACAGAAAATAAGATAAAACCATGAACTTCTTACCTCTTCTTGGATTTCATTTGATTCCAGTCAGAATCACTATCCAAACAAAACCATGCACCACAGAACTAGACAGCTGAAGTGATTTAAAATCTAATGCCACATGCTTGCACAAAGTCAATGCAAAACATGCCCTTTAGAAAACACTACTCATCCTATGATGCCTGGGAAAAAGCATTAATTCTAACAAGAAATGAACTATTATTAGCAGTGCAACAAGCCAAGATCTGTGCAAGAGAAACCAGTAGTAAAATTCTGAGAACTTCAGTAAGGCCAGGTGCCAAAAAAGATGTTTCAGTTGCTACTGGCAAAGAAAGAATATGAAAAGCCCCCGAACGACTGATGCGTGTCACACAATACATAGATATGAGGAGGAGCTGGCTAGCTTAGAAACTCAAGTACAGATACCACATGGGATGTACACTATCAATTTAAACCACTTGTCAGTAATGGCAGACAGATTCAAGGGAGTACAGCCTCCTCCAGTAAGATTCAATTATGTTTACATGAGTCCCATGGGGGATTTCTGGTTTTTCCCATATGAACCACATGAAACTTAACCTCTCAAGTGCAATGTCAGGAAGATCAGTTAAAACATCTATTACTGTATATCTAAAGGACCACTATCATGGCATAAATACAAGAACTGTTACTGCTAACCTCTTTCAGGAGAGGTTAGTTGCTTGGCTGACTGACTTCAATACATTAAATCGAATCAGCAGCCAAAAGAACTCAGAACTTATTTCACGGATCATTTTTTTTTTTTTTTTTTTTTTTTTTTTTTTTTACATATAGACAGTAATCTCTGTCTTAGTATTTTGTAACTAAGGGCTCATTAACACTAGGTGCTTTGAATTGCAGTGACAAACATGAGGACACCAGCCTGTGGGATGCACAAGTGTTCCATGCATTCCCATTCATTTCAATTGGATTGGAGTGGCTGCATTGATACAGCTGCTGCTCTCAATTTCACAGCTGTGCGTGGGTGAGCGGCCCTTAACACAGTCGGATGTCAAATTGGGAGAAGCAGCTGTGTTTGTGCAGCTGCTGTGTCCCAACTGAAATTAATTGGACAACCTGCACAGCAATGCAAGAAACATGTGCATCTCATTCTGGGTAAACAAGGTCCTTGTGAATAAGGCCTATGTCTACAATTTTTATGAAACACAGCATACAAAAATGCCTAATGATGCAATTGCACCATGCTGTTAAGCATAGAGTTTAAGTGCTTTTTGTTTTTTAACTTTAAGGTTAAAAAAAAAAAGGAAAAACTGATGTAAAGTGACAACGCACTGCAGCATGGGTATACAATACATGCACTATGATGTGTTCCCACCCCTGTGACAGGCCCAACTTCTGTTCTTTGAATTTCTCAGGTTTGTGATTAGTATGCAAAGCAGAAATTGTTCTTTGTAAACACTACATTATTTGATCTATACAGCTTTGCAAGTACTAACCTATAAACCTTTCTGCTACACACATCTTTCTGACCTCTACAAATGCCAGTTCTCAAACAGCTGAGAACTTTTATTCATAGTGCTCGGTCAAGGATGGCAACGGCTTTATTATGTTGCATGTAGATAAACATCAGTAAGACTTGACCTTTCCTCTGAAAGAACTGATTTACTGTTAGTATTAATCTAGTATTAATTGTTGGGCTTCTCAAATGCTTAGCAGAGGGTCAAAAGCTCACCTAATAATAATCTTAAACTTCACAGCTGTTAAAAGCATCAGGATAATTTAAAAGTGCAAAAGGACTGCTAAATTCTGTCTAAAATGACCAGATTCAACGTTTATATTTTTGATCAATAAAACATGGTAGCAAATTACAGGAGAAAAAAAAAAGTCAAAACATTTGTTTCTCACAATTGAACGTCTACAGTCATACGATACTCCTCCTGTATGGAAACATGTCACCAAGTATCCACAACAACTATCTTGTGTCACGTTAAGTAGCCAACTTATGTCTGTTTAGTACCATCTTAAATGTGTTGTATTTCTATGCAAATAAATACAAAATTTAAAATCCACAAATAAAAAAAGTGAAATATACAATATACAGCACTGGGTTATACTAACCTAAAGTGCTGCTCTCTTTGATTCCACATGGTACAGTTTCAGATTGAGCTCACAGAAAAGATCCAAAGGCCCATTCATATCAGTCCTATGGGTTGTGGTGCGCTAAAACACGCACGTGTATTAAGGCAGCCTATTCAATATATTGGACTACCAAATGTACCACAAAGGAACAAAAATCATGCATACATAGTGCACTGCAACGCATATTGAACTGCAACTAGAGTGCAGAGCTTTACAGTGCCATTAAAAATTATTATTATACAGAATTTATAAAGCGCCAACAGTTTAGAATGTATGACATCTGATTATACGAATGAGCCTTACCATACCTCAAGAGCTTATTTACACCAGCATTAGAATGCAGCAGTTTGTATGTAACGAGAAAGCGGCACTCTCAAAGTGCTGAAAATCGAGCATAACAGAGCAATCCCCCAGCTTAGCGGATTGAAATGTCATAAACTAACATTTACATTTAGTTTAATCCACCACAGTCTGATGTGATGCAATGGACTGTGTCCACCTAAGTAAAAAAAGCCTGTCCTCTGCCAGCATGCTGTGGAGAAGGACCCTTGCTCCCTTGGAAGCAGTAGTTTCGGTGCACAACTGAGCAACCACTGGCAGAGACAGAGCTGGAATTCTATTTTCACAGAGCTTTGCAGATTACAAAGTTATAGGGCTAGCTCAACATGGGGTGTAGCTCTATACTGATGGGGGATAGCTCTAAACTGGGTGATGTGGGGTATGGGGTGAGGAGGTAGTTCGTTTTGGTTATAAACTTGCTTGTATGTGTACCCTCCTCCATGCCAGTGGCCCCCCACTGGCTAGCTTGCGTATATTCTCTGAAAAAAAAAAATTAAATAAACCTTGTGCACTATAATACAAGATAATTATGTTGATCTAGGTTAATTTTAACTTCTCAAACATGCAAACAATCATGCATGGTAGGGATTTGTATGTGTCTGCATGCATGGTCAGATGCCTTGTAGAGCTTCCAGAACCCCTAAAGACAAAATGCAAACAGTTGCATCAGTTGGTGACATCGCACTTGGCCACACCTAGCACTTCTGTGCCTTATAGTGATTGTAGACCCTTACATATACCCGGTAAAGTGACTGGCCTCAGGTGATACACAGATGAAAATAAATCCTCCTATATAAGTTGTATCTGTCTCTGCAGTCTCTTTACAACAACCATTCAAAGTTCAGAATTTATAAAAACCTTGTCTAAGCTCTCACAAAGCAAGGGGTGGGGAGCTGAAGTTACACTCTGCACATCTCAGTGAGAACTAATTGGAGGGAAATGACACACCCCCTTTCAAACAGCACACAGACAAGGCTGAGGCTGCCAATTACAGGCTAAGTGCTAGAGCTCCCTTCCTGTCACCTTTTTACCTCATGGTGTGAGGAAAACTTGTCAGAAGTGATTTATGCAGATAAGAGGAATGAGGCAGCTGACAGACACTTAATGCTATGGACTGAGAAAAGTACATAGTATAAAAGGATGTGCTTTGTTCATATTTCATGTCAGAGGTTTACAACAACTTTAACATTTACTATTGGCTCATAACTGTGCTGCTCATTAAATAATATTGAGGCATGAAAGATGGACAGGGAGTGGAACCACTTCAGGAATCCCAAGGAGCTCTCTACAATATCAGATCATGCCTAGCTACAAATGTCTACATGAGTAAAAAGTTTACACAAGTTCACTTTAAGTAATACTTTCTAGGTTAGTAAATTATAAACTATGTACTGCATGAAAGCGCAGAGAACTCTTACCTGTGCCTGCGTTTTCTTGAGTGTGAAACAGACCTTGAACGTGACCGTGATTTAGAGAATGAGCGAGATCTTGATCGAGATACAGAGCGGGATGACCCTGACCGTGATTTTGACTTATTTTTGGACATTTTTCAAAAAAAACACAACCAGCCCTTTGTAACCTAAAAAAATAAAAAGAACTGTATTATATTACCAAATTAACAAATGCAAGTTTTTAGCGCCGATCCATGCACAAGAGCGGACAGATCCTTTTACAAATGAAACTAGTAAAAGTCAAACTCATTTTGATCCGAAATTATGAGAAAAAAATAAATGTAATTTCCACAGCATGGTCTTGTAATCTATTTTTCAACAACAGGTCACAGTTCATCTAAGAGAAACAAGAGAGGGTAGCTACACTCCTACATACAGTAGGACCACAGAAAGCTAAATTTGCCACCCCCTCCCGACCCCCCAATTAAAAAAAAAAAAAAAAAAAAAAAAAAAAAAAAAAGAAGGATTTGATAGGAGGTTGACTTTTTTTGGACCAGAGTTTAGGGTCCCAAAATTAGAAACAGATATTAGATTTGTGAACTATGGATCTTTAAACACAGGAAGTGTCTTTGGGTGCAGTTGTGTATTATACAGGATTTATATAGCGCCAACAGTTTGCTCAGCACTTTACAATATAAAGGGAGACAATACCGCAACAATACAGTTCAATACAAGAGGGATAGGAGGGCCCTGCTCCTTGGAGCTTACAATCTAGGATTTAAACTGTTACAATGAAAACATACATGGACATTGCTTCTGCAGTTCCCTCAGAATTACATTACCAAACAATTAACAACAGTGTCTAGTTTACACTTAGACTTTAGTACAAGTGTTTGTCACCTGTTTGAGAACCAAAGCTATTTACACTGTTAATGATCATGAGCAGGCAGCTTCGTTCAACAATCAACAGGCAAGCAATAAACACCAGCATGTTTGTGTATGTTCCAGATAAAGCTCAACTTTAAAAAAGTGGAGTTAATTAATTAAATTTTTTTAAACCATATACAATTGTTATAGAAGCCATATTCTTATAATATTCTAATTTAAAGTGTTAATAAACCCACAATGCAGTAAAGCATGCTTGTTATACTCACTGTGGAACGAGTAAGGGGTTAATCCTCTGCATTCTGTAAAAAGAATGTATGATCCTAACTTCTCTGATCCTCCCCTTCTTTTAGTGTCCCCCTTACCTCCTAAGACATATCGTGTGGAAACGTTCTGCACATGCTTAGTTTGGTGTGTATTGCTAGAGTTTTTTCTTGGGACAGTGCATGTGATCAGCACAGGGCCAATCAGCGCTGTCCAGACAGAGGTCAGGGGTCCTGCATCCTCCCAGAGCAGAAAGAAAACTCCTTCTAAAAGCTTTAATCAGTGCTCTGCTGAACACTGACAGAAGTCACAAGACTGCTCTAACTGCTAATGAGAAAAGGTATTTAGCAATTTATATTTACTACAATAATTGCATTTCTATGTAGTGTGTACTGTGGGAGATCAGATAAAGTATTACTAAACCCAGGACCCTGCATTCACACTAACTAGTTGCACACTTTGGGCATGCTACACATGCCCAAAATAAAAAGTCATCATTGTACAGAGGACATGTGTAGCACATCCAGTCTCTCTGCCAGTTTGTCAGGAACCCCCTTCCCCACCCAAATAAATAGCTACGTTGGCTTTGATTAAGGAGATCGGCAGCTTGAGCTGTCAAAAACAGTCTTGACACTGTTTACAAATAACACTTGCTGGGTACAATGTAACATTGTAGAATTCTGTTCTTTGATCTACAGATCAAAGGGATAAACTTAAATCTGCAAAATGTCAGTAAAAGCAACCAGCAAGTGTGTGTAAAAAAAAGAAAACATTTTTTCAAATGTTCCTGTTTAACCTCTTATGAACCCCTAGTTTATTCTAATCAGCCCTAATTAACTCCTTATCCTCCTTCTCCGTGCAATTAGGACATGACAAGTTATATACAGTTTTTGGGAAAAGAGACAAAAAGAACATTGTGCAGGATTGTGATCCGGAAAAATAAAAATGCTGAAAAAGAGACTGCAGTGCTCAATCTCAGTCACTTGACGACTGCAGTTTTTATATTCCAGTTCACAATCCTTTGCAATGTCCTTTTGCCGCTTTCGATCAGCTGACTGTGGTGACTGCGCTTATGCTCATCAGAAGACGTCTTCCCACAAACTGTATATGCCGGCATAACCTTTGATACTGTAGCTCGCAGCATGGCAACTAAATTGACAACTTCAGATACAAAGGCAACAGCTAAGCAGCACCAACAATTTGACCTCTTTGAAGATCAGTAAGCTCTGATATGACTTAGGTTATTCACTGTTAGTGTGCTGCTAGTGATACTATTAGCTAGGTGTCTCATCACAGAGCAGAAACAAAAGCGTTACATCACTTCCGGCTTTGAATGTGAAACATGTTGACATTTTCACACCTGCAAATCATGTAGCATTTACACTTTTTTCTCTAACCCCTGTATGCATAGTGCAAAACTGCAAAAAGCAAAAATTTGTAAATGACTTTACAGTGCTTTGTACCAGAATCTTCCCCAGAAATGTCATACCCTGCTTGTGTGATTGGCTCACCGATTAGTAGGATTTTAGGTATCCTCTGCAGCAAAAAATATTTGCCTGTGCGGCCAGTTAGACTTCAATGGTCACAAAGTAAAGCATTATGACAACGGCAATGTAAACAGACCCAAGTGGCCACCGGGTATGTGGTCAAAATATGGATTAACTTTCTGTTTCAATGGCCCCAGCTTTTCTGACTATGTGAATTCTGCCTCAGAAACAGACAACAGTCAGTATAATTAGGTGAAAAATAATTTTTTAAAAAAAGTAGGTAATCTGATTCAATAGGCTCAGTCTTTGCTTTGAAATCTAAAATTGTTTTAGAGCGAAAGATGGTTTGAAATGATGAACTATGACTACCAACTGTGGAGTATTACATGTACGGCCAGCATTAACAGGTGGTTGTGAGATTTATACATACAAAATACACACAAAACGCAGGCCAATACATTTTGGTTTCCTATTCATGTAAAATTATACCAATACAGGGCTGGCTATTTAAACCAAGAAAATATAAAATGAAGCTAATGAAACCTTAGACATGCAACTGTTTGCCAAATATGAATATATAATGAAAAGTTAAGCTTGAATTCAGAGAAAAACACTATGAGTAGGGTCTATTAAATAAAAATACAAGTGGGTGAACAAATCATGTAAACTACAGAGGAGAAACCATACCATAGTTACCAAATTACTTGTTTAAGTTTCTGTAAATTAAATATAAAAAAACTTGACAGGTCATTGTCAGCAACAGCAGCACTTTTTTTTCCTCCAGTTTTCTTACATTACCATGCGTTCCCTTGGTTTTTTCATATGTTAACCAAAACAGAATGTCATTTTACTTTATTGCACTACAACAGTGTGAAGTGAGCGGTTTCTGGGTTACCAGGCATTTTTTTCCTTTTTGATTTTTTTTAACTTTTGATCTATTCCCCAGAGGTAAATCTATGTAAAAAGCAGATGAGGGATTCAAAACTGTTTACGGCTTGCATACTCAGGAGATACTGGCACACACCTGAGGACAGGGTGGAACAAATAGCTTCAGGGGTCATATGATTCTTGGTTCATAGCCAGTAAACATCGACAAACAGCAAACTAATAAGTAAAGCAGCATTCCTACCAGAGCTGCAGAAGAACCATAAGGCAATAAACACGTAGGACAAATTTGGCACTATAAAAAGGAAACCATAACACCAATTTGTTTAATAAATAAGGTGCAGTAAAAATGTTCTATATATAAAACATTAATATGAAATAGGATTTTAATTTTTTTATACAGTAGCATGAATTTATTTTAAAATTTGTTTATCGAGTAAAATATACTTAGTACAAGCAGCTGTACATCTCATACTACTACATATCTCATACATAACACATATTTGCATGGTTAATTTAATATATATAAATAATTAAACATTATATCAATAATTCAACTATTAAACAAATGCAAAAAAAGTTTAAAAATACAGCACAAATACAGAATTTAAGCATATACATAATATATTAAGCGTCCACATCCAAGTTTACTAGCAGTTGCGGAAAAAAAAAAAAAGTTTAGAAAAAACCAATACTATCTATTCTATTGGGGGGGGGGGAGACTATAGAAAAACTGTAGAATATTCTAAAACACAGATGGGAGGGGCTGTGAACTTTGAAACAGCGTGCCAACTGGACATAAAAAAAAAAGAAAAAAGATTAAAGTTTACAGATGGAAAAAACTGTTTTGTTAGAACATTAAACATTTTTCCACAAATAAAATATAGTAAGATGACCTTACAACTAAATCAACATGTGAGAACTTACAGTGAACACACAAGTGGGAGAGAAGCGAGATCCACACTAGCAGCACAAGAAAGGTCAAATTTCCTTCCTGCTTTCATGTATAAAACGGTTTTGTAAATCTTCAATGTTGTAACTCCACCCAGCAATCTCTTAAAGTGGCCACAGCTTGGTGCTTGATTTTATTTATTTTTTTTTTTACATAACCTACTGCTGGTAGGTATTGCATAAGTAGGCAAGTTAAAAATCAGATTATAGAATATTAATACTGTTTTAGGAATTTATTTTTGCTTAAAAAACAAATAATTTAACCACTTCCAGTCCGACCCATGTACATAAACGGCCAGACGGGAGCAGTGCAGGAACGGGTTTCCATTCATAAACGGCACACGCATTTGCAGCCTGCGCACGCTCCTTGGGAGCACGCGGCACCGAGATCCGGAGAACACTGATCGCTGTATAGGAGCTCTGTGTGAGGTCCTGATCATGTGATCACTGACTAGCCAATCAGTGATCACATGAATAGTAGTAAGGAAGAGGTCACTTCCTGACATCATTGCTTACTACTAGTGAAATCTGTGAATGATCACAGAGGTCACATGGTACAAGGCTATTCACAACAGCCTTGTACCATGTGACAAGCTGTGACCAATCCCAGATCTCACAGTATTTCAATGGCTGCAAGAAGGCAGCCAGAGAGAAGGAGAAATTATTGCTTTTACAGCCTGTAT